TCTACGACTGTCTGGTCGACCTGCAGGACGTTCTGGAAGATATCAACGAGGTGGAAGCCGTGGTCCACACTCCTGATGACTTGGACATGTTCTAGATCTCCGGGAGAAGACCGGCTTTAAGGGCTGGCCCCTTATCGCTCACCACCGCGCCTAAAATTGAATGCTCCAATCTCCTGGGCCTCTGAAGGAACAACCCACCCTTTACAACATCGCCCCCAACCGCACGTTAGGTGGATTAATTGTAATTAAATTAATTAATCTACTGGCACCCTGTAGGCAAACGGTCAGCTGTAAAGCGAATTCTGCATTTCTCTCCTGACTCTTCATACTTTCTGCAGCCTGTTTTTAATCGGGAGTTAAATGCCTGGGTCATTTTTCCCTTGATCAAATTTAGCGTTTCAATAAAAAGAAATGGAGCACCTAATAAAATTGTGTCCGGTGTGTCATTTTAGGATCAAATCACAGACCCACAACAGTTCACTTAGTGACTGTTTGAGGTTAACAACGGCACGGGGGGGAAAAAGCGACTTAACGACCATTTTTCACACTTACGACCTTGGCAGCCTCCCCCCCAGGGTCAGGTGATTTACATTCGGAGGCTTGGCAACTGACTTGTACTTATGACAGTTGCAATTAACCATGTCCTCCCCTTTTGCAACCTTCCGACACGCAAAGTCAAGGGGGGAGCTGGGTTCGCTTAACAACCGTGTGTGCCTAGCTTCACAACTGCCGTGGTTCACTTAACGGCGCTGGCAAGAAAGATCGTAAAGCGGAGCAAAACTCACAACAAATGTCTCACTTAACAACAGAAATTTAGAGGCTCGGTTGTGGTCGTAAGTCGAGGATTCCCTGTATTTATGACCGCTGAGGTGTCACCTTCTGACACGCAAAATCAATGGGTGTATGTGTGTGTGTGTGTGAGTGTATGTGCCAGATTCACTTAACGACCATCTTCCTCACTTAACTGCAGCGATTCACTTAACGGCCGTGGCAGGGATGGTCGTAAAATGGGGCAAAAGTCACTTAACAAATGTCTCACTCCAGCCACATCAATCTGGGGCTTCATCGTCGTAAGTCGAGGACTAGGCTGTATTTGGGGAAGTAAACGATGGTCCACGTTGGTGTGAATGTTGTGGAGTCATCAAGTGGGGGGGGGATAGAATTTCAAAGTACAAGTAGTCCTCGGCTTACGATCACGACTGAGCCTAAAGCTTCTGTCGCTAAGCAAAGACAGTGGAGCGAGCTTTGCTTCATTTTACAACCTTCCTCGCCGCTCATCATTAAGCGAGTCACCGCAATTCAGTTCACCACATGGTCGTTCAGCGAATCCAGCTCCCCCCCGTTGACTTTGCTTGTCGGAAGGTCACAAAAGGGGGACCACGGCAGCCCGTCGTAAATATGAATCGGTTTGCCAGGAGGCTGAATTTTGATCACGGGACCCCAGGGAGGCTGAAGGGTGAAGAAAAAAAAAAACGGTCGTAAGTTAATTTTCCCAACGGGGATGTTGCTTTGGACGGTTGCTAAACGAACTGTTGTAAGTCGAGGACTTCCTGTAATTGTGGAGCAAGGTGCAAATTCCGCCACTTTAAAAAAAATCGAGGGTGGGAGAGAGACAGAGAGGCTTTCTTTCCCCCCCACCATTTGATTTTAAATTTATTTGGGGTCTGCCCAGAGAGAAAAAATAGGAGCTGCTGAATCTAAAGGTGCGCCCAAGGCCACGGCTCGGTGGCTTCGTGGTATCGTCCGTGGCTCTTTCGTGGTCCGCCGGGCGGATGTGGCGAGTACCACGATCCGGGATGTTTTCCATCTTCCCAAAGTAGCCGACAATCCTGGGATTCCGTCCAAATCTTAAGTCAGGCCCGGCCTTCTCATCGATCCGAACGAAATAAAAGACCCAGCCATTGTACAGGCTGTCCTCAGCTTACGACGGATTGTTTAGTGACCATTTGAAGGTACAACAGAGCTCCCAAGATTAGTCCTTCACTTACGCCCACAATGGAGCCCAATTTTTCTTTTGCTAAGAGATTTTTAAGAAGAGACTACTAGACAGCCATTTGTCTGAGATGGTATAGGTCTGTGATGGTGAACCTATGGCACGGGTGCCACAATTGGCACTCAGAGCCCTCTCTGTGGGCACCCGCGCCCTTGCCCCAGTCCTGGGCCTTCAGCTGGGTTTTATAAAAGCTTTTCGCTTTAGGTCTCTGCCGTCGTGTGCAAAAAAAAGGTTCAATCAATCAGTCAATTTCAACTTCTCGCGGGAAAAAAAAGATCGTGCAAAGTTGGAATTGATTGATTGAACTTTTTAGTCCCACCCAGTCTGCCATTAGCGCCGCAGCCACGCCCACCCAATGGGCCACACCCACCCAATGGGCCACACCCACCTGGCACCTGACAATGCATAAGTGGGTTTTGGGTTGCATTTTGGACACTCGGTCTCTAAAAGGTTCGCCATCACTGGCATAGGTTCTCCTGCTCGAGCGGGGGGCTGGACTAGAAGACCTTCAAGGTCCCTTCCAGCTCCTATTCTATTCCATTCCATTCCATTCTGTATTTCTATTCTATTCTATTCTATTCTATTTTCTATTCTATTCTATTCTATTTCTATTCTATTCCATTCTGTATTTCTATTCCATTCTATTCTATTCTATTCTATTCTATTCTATTCCATTCTGTATTTCTATTCTATTCTATTTTATTCCATTCTGTATTTCTATTCTATTCTATTCTATTCTATTCTATTCTATTCTATTCTATTCTGTATTTCTATTCTATTCTATTTTATTCTACTCTACTCTATTCTATTCCATATTTTCTATTCTGTTCTATTCTATTCTAATTCTAATTCCATTCCATTCCATTCTTTATTCTATTCTTTATTCTATTCTATTCTACTTTTTATTCTATTCTATTCTATTCTTCTTATTCCATTCCATTCTATTGAGACATTTTTTAAAAGTGAGTTTTTTATGACCCTTCTTGCCACCGTTATTAAGTGAATCGCTGCAGTTCTCACATGACCCGACCCGTTGGGAGGAACACTGCGACCGTCATAAACACGAGTCAGTTGCCAAGCGTCTGATTTTTTTGATACCTTTTTTTAAAAATCAAAGGTATCCAGGAAGATTCTTCTCCGGTTTGCCTGTGAGAGGCCTTGGCAGGCTGGCCTTGTCTGATCTCTCCCAACCCACTCCTTGGATGAGGGACCAACAGGCGATCCCAGGATTAGGAAAGTCTTCTTGAGGCCTTGGCAGGGTGATCCCTGGGCCCCCCCGTTGCCTTTGGGAGCATCTTCCAGCTGCTGAACGAAGACAAGGGATAGGTGACCCAATGGTGGGCCGGCCTTTTGAGGAGGGTCAATCAATGGATTTTCAAGCTGCATGTCTGAATGAGCAGTAGAGCAGAAGCCAGACCAGGAAAAAGCCTCTGGGGTTTGGCCCTTCTTGAGTCTGGCTCGAACGCAGCACACAGACCCAAGAAGGGGTGATTTTCTTTCTCCTGGCACTGTCCTGCAGTTCCCAACAGGACGAGCCTCGACTTTGCCCTCTCCCATCTGTAAAATGGGTCGATACTAGCTTCCCTCTAGGACAGACTCCAGGGCAGTTTCCTTTGCAGCCAAAGTGAGGCTATCTAGCAGGACTCCTCGACCGGGACTATCCCTAGCTTGCCTCAACGAGCCCGACTTCCAAAGGCCCGGATTGCACGCAAGGCACGCCTCAGGGTCGTGAGAATGCAGCCAGAGCAGGGCAAATCTCATCGAACGGGGGACGGGGAAGGACACGCAAGGCCGGCAGGGAGGAAGAAGCGAATTGTCTCCATGAAAAGCGGGAGCTCGTTCGCCTCGCTTTATTACAGGAGGGGAGGAAGGGACAACGCCTTCCCCGGGCTTGGCGGGTCGTGAGAACGCCGCCTCCCTTCCCCCCCTCCCTCTCGCGTGCATGAGCCCCTCCCCTCCCTCCCCGGCCAGAGCCCCGTTTAGCAAGCAGGCGGGCGCCCCCCACCCCACCCCGCTCCCTCCCTCCCTCCTGCCGGACACGTGATGCAGGGGCGGCAGCCTGGCGCGGTGTGAACGCGGCTCCCCACGCGTGCCGGGGAGGGGTTGCTGCTCTCTCGGGCGTGACGCGGCGGCTGGAGGAGGAGGAGGAGGAGGAGAAGGAGAAGAAAAAGGAGGAGGAGGAGAAAAGGGAGAAGGAGAAAAAGAAGGAGGAGAAAAGGGAGGAGGAGAAAAAGAAGGAGAAAAAGGAGGAGGAGAAAAAGGAGGAGAAGAAAAAGGAGGAGGAGGAGGAGAAAAGGGAGAAGGAGAAAAAGAAGGAGGAGAAAAGGCAGAAGGAGAAAAAGAAGGAGGAGAAAAGGGAGGAGGAGAAAAAGGAGGAGGAGAAAAAGGAGAAAAAGGAGGAGAAAAGGGAGGAGGAGAAAAAGGAGGAGGAGAAAAAGAAGGAGGAGAAAAGGGAGAAGGAGAAAAAGGAGGAGGAGAAAAGGGAGGAGGAGAAAAAGGAGGAGGAGAAAAGGGAGGAGGAGAAAAGGGAGAAGGAGAAAAAGGAGGAGGAGAAAAGGGAGGAGGAGAAAAGGGAGGAGAAAAAGAAGGAGGAGAAAAGGGAGAAGAAAAAGGAGGAGGAGAAAAGGGAGGAGGAGAAAAGGCAGAAGGAGAAAAAGGAGGAGGAGGAGAAAAGGGAGAAGGAGAAAAGGGAGGAGGAGAAAAAGGAGGAGGAGAAAAAGGAGGAGGAGAAAAGGGAGAAGGAGAAAAAGGAGGAGGAGAAAAGGGAGGAGAAAAGGGAGGGGAAAGCAGCGTAGCAGCCTCAACTGCAGCGCCCAGCGCTCTCCGCGGACCGAGCAGCCCGGAGCCCCGCGGGTGTCGGCCGGAGCCCCGAGCAGCCTCTCCGGGGGAAGCGGACGGACAGCAGCCGGGAACCCTCCGACCAACCCCGGCCTCGCCCGGCTCCTGCGGCCGGGCTTTCTCCCCGCTTCTGCCCGGCGTCCGGCTCGGGCCAGGGGCCGCCGCAGCCATGGGCGACAAAGGCACCAGGTCAGTGGGCGCAAGGTCGGAGCCTCCGCGCATCTGGACGCGTGTCGGGCCGTTCTGACGGTCTAGGGGGGGGAAGGGGCGGGGGGGGGGAAGGCTGCCTTCTGCTCTTCGCTGCCCCGCCGACCCCTTCCCTGGGGATGGGGGATGGGGGGGCCCGGCTGAATTGGGGAGCACTTGGGTTCCACGGGTTGGTGCGTAACGTGGGAAGGGGCTGTGCAGATGCGCGCTGGGGGATTGGGGGGATGGGGGGGGATGGCTCTGGGTTGCCTACTACGGCCAAGGCTTTTNGTGGCATCTAACCTGGAATTAATTAATTTGTGCCAAGGCTGGAGAAAAAAAATTCAGGATAATAGCTAATTCTGCCTAAAATGGGGAGGGCATTTCTGATCTCCCCCCCCCAGCTAAGAAAATAAAAATTGGGAGGGGGAGACGCTCATCACCCCCCCATCCTTCTGTGCTGTATGTTCCCCCCCCCCTCCAGCATCTTTTCTTTGTTGCTAAATGGAGCCTCCCCATCCAGAGGCACTTTATCTGACACTGAGGACTAGCAGCACAGAATAGCAGAGGGGAAAAAATTGCAGCTGGAGGGGCTTTCCTGCAAAATTGGGGGGAACACCCCCTCCCCATGTTTGGCCCCTGCTGCTCAGAAGCCTGGAGGAGGTAGGTGGGTGGCTGGGTTGCTTGATCCCACCTCCTTCCCTATCAAGGCTGGTAGGGGATGCTGGGAAGTGTAGTCCTGTAGGGGTGAAGTTCCAGAAAGCTGCTTGGTATATTTTTATTTTATTTATTGATAAAAATGGACTCTTATCTTGCCTGTTCCCTACAACAACATGGCGAGGTAGGCCAGGCTGTGGGAGTGGCCAAATGTCTCCTGTCATAATCCACCTTTACAGGATGCTGTTAACCCAGTTTAACAGAGATTGATGATGGTTAATTGGATGTGCTACGCTGGGGCCTGGATTTCTGCAAGTCCACAAATCCAGTTTGATAATAGGCTAGTGCAATTTCTCAATCTTGGCTGTTTTAAGATGGGTGGACTTCAACTCCCAGAATTCCCCAGCCAGCCCTGCTGGCTGGGGAATTCTGGGAGTTGAAGTCCACCCATCTTAAAACAGCCCATGTTGAAAAACACTGGGCTTAAATGTGTTGTTGTGTGAACCTGTGCAAGATCATTGAGAAGATGGAGAGAAACCACATCTGATGTATGAAAAATAACGCTGACTGACCTGGGAAATCGGGGATATCCCCAAATGACCCAACCAGTTTCCTAGTCCTCATTGTGTATATATAACATAACCGTGACCAATTCTTGCATTTTGACTTTTTTTTTTAAAAAAGGACAACACACACAAAATTAACAACGTGCAAAGTGAGAGTAGGCTAAGCCTTGGATTGCAGCCTCCTAGAATCGTAGCAAGGAGAAGGGATTCCCCGAGGTCATCTAGTCCAACCTCCCCCCCCCCCGGTTGTTCGAAAGCGATGACAGCAGGGTGTTGTGCGGATGACGCCAATGGGTGCTCTTTTTGGTCACGGTGCGTAGGGATTCTCTTGCCCTCCCCTCTCCCCACCCAGTGGCTGCCCACCCATATTGTTGTTTGTGTGTGTGTGTGTGTGTAGCGTCTGGGAAAAAGAATGAGCGAACTGGGGCTCGGCTGAAAGAGCCGATCCTGCATTCGAATCCTGACGTCGGAAGGAGTCTCTAGCAAAGGGCTGGAGTTGCAGATGTGTAGCAAGCTTAAATTAGGGGTCCCCAACAGGATGTACCCCCCCACCAGATAAATGTTGGCTCTTCAAATCCTAACCCTGACCCGCCTGGGATGTTAGAAAGCACCCCTCGTTCTGTGGGGTGCCCTGTGGAGAAAACCGAATTGTTTGGCTCTTTATCTGGATCCAGAGTTGAGCTGGTGTGTTGTGGGTCCCTAAACACCACAATCCTCCACCAGTAAACTGGCTTCAACCAAACTGAAGGGACGGAACTGCTAAGTGGGTCCAGTTAGGGTCCAAGAGAATTTCCTTCCTTCCTTCCCTCCCTTCTTCCTTCCCTCCATTTTTCCTTCTTTCCTTCTCTCCGTTTATCCTTCCTTCCTTCCCTTCTTTTCCTTCCCTCATTCTCCCTTCTCCTTCTTTCCTTTCCTTTATTCCTTCTCCCTCTCCTTCCTCTCGGTTCCCTCATTCCTTGCTCCATCTTCCTTCTTTCTTTCCTTCCTCGCTCTTCCTTCCTTCCCTCTGTTTATCCTTTCTTCTTTCCTTCCCCCCTCACCTTCTTTCCTCCTTCTGTTCTTCTTTTCCTTCTCCCTCTCCTTCCTTCCTGTTTCCTCCCTCCTTCCTCCATGTTCTTTGTTTCCTTCCTTCCTCCTTCCTTCCTTCCTTCTCCCCTTCTCCTTCCCTCCTTCTTTCCTTTCATTCCTTCTCCCTCTCCTTCCCCCTTGCTTCCTTGTTTCCTTCTCTCCATTTATCCTTCCTTCCCTCCCGCCTTTCTTTCCTCCCTTCTCCCCCTCTCCCTTTCTCCTTCCTTCCTTCGCTCCCTCCCTCCCTCCCTTCCTTTCTTCCTTCATTCCTCCCTCCCTCCCTCCCTTC